ATAAACCCACCACAACCAAATATTACCTGTCTGACAGAACATCCAGGGTTTGAAGCTTGCTGTCTGAATCCTTATGTGCTTCAGATAGCTTACCTCAACTTCAGGCAGGAGTTTGGCCCTCTTGTTGCTACCCAGCATGAGTAGGTTCTCTTTTTCATCACATTTCTATCATGGTGGATGTCTGTGTGTTGACATGCAAATGTAACTCTGCAGGCAGTATCGCTACACAGCTTACAGGCAGGTGGTGCGCTGGGCATATGGCATCCTGGGCAGGCACATAAGAAAGCCCATACCATCATGCATTGTTTCCATAATAAGGAATTCCTTTCCAGAACAAGGGCAGTACAAAGGCTTTCAGTGGCCATCCATCCATCCATTTTCTACCCTTTAATCCATTTCTGGGTCAGGGGGGTGGCAGTCAGAGATGCCAACCAAGTCTCATAGCACCAGCCCCTCACTGACCCTCTGCAGGTGGTGAGTCCACAGGAGGACGGCTGCTCTCTGACTGTGAGCATAGCCTTGATCTTTCAGTGGGGGCTTTGGGCAAAGTGGGGTTAAGTGTCTTGCCCAAGGACACATCGACAGCAGTCATCAGTGGGAGTCGGTGGAGAAGGTGTAGAGGTGGGAATTGAACCCACGACCTTCTGGCCTTAAGGCCAATGCTCTACCAACTGAGCTACTGTCGCCCCCTTTCAGTGGCCCAACTTACCAAATTATGAATAAAAAGGTAAATCTATGCTGTAGAAGTGTTTTTTGTATACAAAAACATTTAGAATATACACAATACAAAAAGTAACAATAATAACACATGCAAAGATATGACTAACAAAGTATGAACTTGCTTTGTCAATATTTACAATTATGTAGGAATATTGTACTATTAAAATCCAAAGTATTGGAGTTTACATTACAACTTACAAAACACTCATAACACTTAACAAGTAATTTGATATTAATATTACAATTAACCTGTGCATTTTCAAACCAGAAAAAAAAGAAAAACATGCTGAATATTTCTCTTTACTAACATTTCAATGGGCAAGTTCTCTAATAAGATGAAGACTGTAAGTGGTCTTATTCATTCACACTTTCTGACATGGTCGCTGTGTCTGACTATTGTGGTGAAGAGGGAGCAGTGTCTGCAGTCAGAGCTCTGGATTTCCCGCTCAGTGGTGGAAATTAGCAATTAGTATTCACTGGGAAGAAAATCTAGAATGAAGCGCTTTATATTGTCTGACTGCCTCCTCCTTTGGAACTTTCTGAAATGATGCTGTTAGAGGCTGCGGCGCGGAGGATGCCAGGAGAGCACTGCTTTGTCTCAACTCCTCCGGAGTGCTGCTGTAGGTTCGATGCAGATGCTCCATAAGATCAAACGCATATTCTAATGGATACAGACATAAATTAGATGCATATACCAACAGTACAATCCATTTTATTCTTAGTTACGCTTGATGCAAACCATATGACGGAGTCTCCTTCATTGGACGGACCACTGCAGTACCCTTCATAAACCGTGGGTACCGTACTTGATGGCGGACCTCACCGTCAGATCGCAGAACTTCTCTGTTGCTGTTATGGTTGAAGTGAAGGGCAGCAAGAAGAAGCCTAATGGGAATTGGCAAAATTGTTGTTATAAAATAGGACAGTAAAACAGCAGTTTAAAAAATTTGCCAATATTTACCTGCTATACATGCCCAGGAAGGAGAACCCAGTGTGTTTCGGTGCAAAGTGGAGAATGAGCGCATGGAACGCCTCAAGTGAATAGGTCTGATGTGAGGGCGACAGTTGTCGCACATCTTTAACAAACATCGGCCGCATCGCCATGCTCTCCAGCTTTATGGATACCAGGGATCCTGTGATCAATTTATTTTGTCAGTGCAAGTTCAAACAAAATTGTATGCTTTCCTAGAATAATATATGGCGGCAGGCAGGCTAACACTCAGGCTTCATAGCATCTTTCTGTGGGGACTTTCTCCACGCGAGGGATGGTTAGCACACATGTTCACTTTTGTAATATTAACAACAACAATAATAATAAATCACCTGGTTCCAGCCACTGCTTCTCTCTGGTTTCTCCTTCCAGAGGAGGATGAGCACAGACTGGAAACCAGGGGCTCTTGTGAGTGTGGATGTCCTGGACATGGTTCACCAAACTAGTCCACTTTGCCTCCAACACTTCAGGATTGCCATCAGGTGTGGATGCAGCAGTCCAGTAAAGATGGTTAATAACTGCAGCTTTCCAGAGGGCGAGATCCTCACAGTGTTGCTCTTTAGAGGCAGCATCCAAAGCCTTCTTTAAACCTGAAAAACCAGAACATGAATTATAAAAGCAAAAATATTTCAGACGGTCCCAAGACAATTTATAATTAGATCATTATTACCACCATCTGTGATTGGGAGAATTTGTCAATTTGCTTATGACACAACTCCGGTTATGGGTGGATTTGGATTTGAAGTTTTTAGGAAACATGAACTATGGGCCAATCAACAATCCATTTTTGAGGTGAAACTAACTTTGTTTGTGCCATAACTCACCAAATGGCGGAGGTATAAGAGTGCTTTCATAGTTACCTTTACTAACATGCCAAATATCGAAGAAATGTTTTGTGCCTTCTGGACATAGCTTCTCACGCACCCACTTGGCCACCTTTTGAGTAACAAAAGTCTTTGATATAAATGACTGTGACTGAAGATATTATTAAAAGTTATCCACATTCATTTACCTGGCGATTTCGATCAGTCACAAGCGTAGAGACACGAATTTTCTCCTTAGAAAGAAGGTTGATGGTCCGCTTTAGTCCCTCCAATTCACACCAATTACTATACATAGTTCCCACAGACCAATGAATGTCACATGACCTCCTCGGAGACGCCATCTTTGATGGCTCGCTGCTGTGTTTGTGCATTCCATTAAACAGAAGAATGAGAATAAATGTAGATATTCAAACGCAAATTGGAAAAAAAGGGCAACTTTTGAGCAAATAATTGTATATTAATACAATGGCACCACAGTTTAACGTGCTACGGACATGTTTTACATATTTGATCAAATTATGCAGCAAAAATTAACAAGCAATGCAAACATTTCTCAAACTTTAGATTTAATACCAGTTGGAGCTCCATTTAATTATTTTAATTATATTAACAATTAATTTAATTAATGCTAATGCCACACGGACACTCTGGATTGCTGTTATTGTTTATTTCCGCGTTTTTGACCGTATGTTTTGGTGAATGGTGGACAACTGATTTTTCCAGGCGTAAAGAGCAGTTTATTTTATGACACAGATCTTTTTACAGAAGCAATGCTGTTTGTGAACATTGTTTTAGCCCACCATAGAACTATTATTATCTATTTAATACATTTACGTTGCCCTCGAGAGCCTCGGACGCGACACCGATCCTCCTCATAATAAAGTAATCTAACGCTAAATAATGAAACTCTCAAGTTACCAGATATCAGCATACACAAGTTAGTACTGAGTAAATTACGTCTGTCAACACATTATAAGATACGATACGCACCTGACACAAAGTGCTCCGAGCATATTCTTGCGTGTTTTGAGGGAGTTTCTTGCCTGTTTATCTTCGCAAGCCATAACCTCCGTGGTTGTTCTGACAAAAGCTTAGTCTTCTCACATTCATGAAGTCTAATGATGGGTATACTGTAAAATCCAAGTTTAACGGAACCTCCGGCACGATTTGAACATCCATTGACCCAGCAGGAGATGACCATTTTCAACTTTATCACGACATTAACACGTTTCAGCTTCTTTTTCTATTGTTTTGCCCACAGCATGCCAACACAAATGTCGCCGGGTCGGCAAATACCCGTATGTAGTGACGTCATGTGGGAACTATGTATTGGGTACTTCCGAGCTCTTTGAGAGGCACACAAAAACAGGATTATTCTCATCCCAAACTTTGTGTACAAGGCACGACTAACTATGAACCTTTTAAATACAGAATTCCTTATGCCTTATACATGATGGTATTTAATATTAAATTCTATATTGACATTAATAACGAATCATGGCTGGTTTGAAAATGTATGTAATGCATTCATATTTTTCCATCTCCACCTCTGCAGATAGTTGGCTTGGTCAACACATGGGTTTACTTATGGTGCATGTTATTGTGTGGTAGTACAAACCGTGCCCGGAGAAAATCCACCCAGACACGTAGATAATCATGTGATCACCGTGCAGATAGGCCATATTGAAATTGAAACATGTGACTCAGCCACAGTATTGCCATACCTGAACAAGTTGAAGGTCCAAAACTTTGTTTATCCTCTCCTCAATTACGGTGTATGTTCCAAATTTAGCACAATGCCCCGGTGAATCAGATCTGTTCAAATGTTTGTTTGTTTATACATTGTTATAATTATTCATACCGTACAGTTATCCATCTTAAACTCACCTGCAGTCGCCAGCAAGAATAAGCCCTCCCTCTTTGGCCTTCAGTTGGTTCAGCATTTGTGCTTGTTTGTTCTTCCACGTTCCAATGATGGTGGGGATCGTGTATAGTTGCTGGTGTCGAAAGAATGTCCTAACACTTATACATTGCACTCCAAGCAGGCCAAGCATCCTCAAAGCCTGTGTTGGCATGCACCCTGAAAAGTGGATGGCCCCACTAAGCATCAAGTTGCACAAAGGCATATATTTGTGCATCTTTGGTTGGTTCTGCCATTCCCGTTCAAAACCACAAGCAGAGCAAATCTGTAAGAAAATTAATTCATTAAGTTATGCAATAAAAACAGCCAACAGTGAGAACAGAGTTACTCATGGTAAAGACAATCTTGCCTGTTCCACTTTAATAAAGGTTCCCTGTTGGTGTTTTACTTTTCGCTGGGTTTCCTCAGAACATTGTGGACAAACGGCAAACAAGGACAGCAATTGTGATTCACAAACTATAAATTTGTCTGCAAATCTATTGAAAAGTAAAGTTAATACATTTACTTCCCCATTAGAACAGTCCAATTATACAACAATGATCACTTACTTTGTATTTCTCTGTTCTTCGTCCTGTGCCTCTTCCTCCGATGTATCAGTGTCCATTTCCTCCTCCTCAATGCTCCAAGAGCTGTCCCACTGATGACTATCAAAATCAAAGGAGGACTGCTCATCCTCCTCATCATTCTTCACAGGTGTAGAGGTCACATGATTGATGGCCGTTGTAGTGGAATGAATATCCTCTTCAGTTTGAGTGCCAATACTTATCAATGTAGGCTTCACCTGGACACCTTGAACATAAGGGAAAACTTTCTGAATCAGGGGGGGAAAAATGTTTTCCATTTTATATTATAATTAAGTTCTACAAAGTGAGTGTGACATGTGTCAGTAACTTTTAGATACTATTTCAATCTATGTTGGGAAACAAACATTACCGGATGAACGATAAGGAAGTCTTATGTTGCACTGTAGAGCCTGATCGATAGTTCTTGGCAAAGAATCAGTGGTAAAGTCTTCATCGGGTTCATTCATGATTTCTTTTGTAAGAGCTTCATCATCTTCACTCAAAATCTGAAACGCACAAAAACATTTACTACACATCATCTGTCAGCAGCTTGTATGAAGCTAAACAAGCTTCGAAAAATTGTAATTTCCAACAAATTGCCTTATATGAGCAAAACAGGACAAATACTAAACCGCAAACTTGGTTATAATTGAATGTTGCGTTATGCTGCTCATTTGTAAAAGTTCAGACAATTTTCTTGGTTCAAAAATGTCACAATTCAACTTGTAAATTACTGAAATGGGAACAGCACTCCCAGTTAGAAATTGGGAAATACCAGCTGACAAATTAGTCCCACCACTTCAGTAACTTACGAGTTCAACTGTGACGTTTTTAAACACAATGGATTTTAAATGACTAACACAGATACAAATAGAAAATTATGGTTTAGTATTGGAAATTTTGTTTACACAAGTTAATTTGTTGAAACGTGTTACAAACATGCAGTACATTCATTCACATAATGCTAGCTTATGCTATATGCTTGCTAGTTGAACTCGAGTAGCTAACATATGTATCCAACACAATAGCGCTTATGTAGCTAATACATTTAAATAGAAACAACGGTAACTGTTACTTACTGAAAATAACCAGCGTTTTGTTGAAGCTGATGAAGATCTTTCTGTACCAGCACCTGCATTACCCGCGTTAGCACTAGCACCCCCGCTAGCAGCCGCGCTAGCAGCAGACAAAGATAAAGACTGTACACTGGGCACGGCTCCTTCCGTCAGCCTCACATTGTTTCGACTTTTGAAGCCCATCTCCATTTCCATCAGATCTCCACTTAAATAGTCCTCTTTCTTGAAATGGGCTTCACAGATGACAGAGCTCGTGGTCACAGAGGCCGCGGTAAAGTCCTTCCTCTTCGTCTGTACAAAATTCACCCAGGCACGGAAAAGAGAAGACTTTTTTTTTCCTTTGGGAAAATAATGTACCCTGAATCCGGTAGATGAAGAATTCGTGCACCCTCCACACACACAATAGTTCACCATATTCACTAAAATAAACGACAAATTGACAAAAAATCCGATACCAGCTACTAGGGGTGATAGCAATAACTAGAGTGAGGCAAGTTCATACTCCCTTACGCTACGTCACGTCACGTGACAAAGGATTTTGCGGAAGTATCACAAATAGATGTCTATTTGAGGTATTTTACAAACGAATTGTGTAATTTATTATTTAATGAGAACTTTTATCATTTTCATGGGGATGAAGGAATTATATGAGAGGGAAATCAAATGATTTATTGTATCTGTCATATGCACTTTAAACGAGAAGTGGCTGCTTCAAGCACATGTTCGATAACGTTATCGGTGGAAGTAGGACATCTTGTCAGGACTCACAAAGAGTGGTATTTGGAGAAGTTAAGGATCGCCAAACTGAATGTTGACCCGTACCTTCTCCCCCCAGTCAATTTTATCGATTAAATGAAATGTCCAATGTTACTCCCACTGATGACTGCTGTCGTTGTGTCCTTGGGCAAGACACTTAACCCCAATTTGCCCAAAGCCCCCACTGAAAGATCAAGGCTATGCTCACACTCAGAGAGCAGCCGTCCTCCTGTGGACTCACCACCTGCAGAGGGTCAGTGAGGGGCTGGTGCTATGAGACTTGGGTGGCATCTCTGACTGCCACCCCCCTGACCCAGAAATGGATTAAAGGGTAGAAAATGGATGGATGGATGGATGGATGAAATGTCCAATTTTTGTCTGAATTCACCCTACATGATCTTTATGTTGTTAACAATGCAGATTTAAATGTAAATTTTGCTGGTAGCATTAGCATATTAGCAATAGTCCACTTTTCCGTCTACAGCCAAACATGATACGTATTGACGGAGAGAAAAATAGTGAAAAACGCAACTGACGTCTAGGATAAGATAAGAGATCCTTTATTCATGCCACAGTGAGGAAATTTCAATCTTGAATCGCACATACAGGACAGTAATAAGAGCACACGTTTGACTTCAAGCTTTCATTGTGTCATTGTCCTCCAAATAAATTAATAGAAAGAAAATAAATATAAAATTGTGATTGATTTATCTTGTAAAAAGTGTTCACTGCAAATCGGGGAGTACTTGGATGACTCCCAGTCCTTTTGGTTGATTGCCGCTGGCCATCGTCGTCTTCTGTCTTTATGACGAGCAGGTATCAGATAAAACGACACATTTGGCTTATGTCCTTGCCTGTTAGTACAACCAACCCAATTATATCACAGTTTTTGCTGTTATTCGGTGAATCAGGTTGCTTTGTTCAAGTTTCCAAAGGCGCAGTAAGACTTCTGCTGTCTGTCATGGAGAGTGGGCGTTGCCGGGAGGTCACATTTAAGGGGTCAATAGTGAGCTCTTGCTACAAGCCCCTCCATGTGGGAAAATTTCAGCAAGTAACTAAGAAACATTCTATCTCAATAATGCATAAAAATATGATGATGTAATATTAGTACTATTAGTTTGGCTTGATTACATATACGGCTATTTACAAGTGGCTAATACCTAGAGTACATCGGACTGGCAACTGATTATATCCGTCGCATATGAGTTGCTGCCGAGCACACATTGGCAATCTGGCGAAAACGAGCAACTCCTAGCAGGAGGCCAGTCTCGGGAATAACAGCGCGTACATCGACAGCAACTGCCGTCAACTACAGTGTGTTTTCTGACATAAACTGTAGAGGGCGCGCAATACACGCAATTCACACATTTTGTTGGAGCGCGCCATGGATCTATTAGGAACGCGCACATCGGGTGATATCTCCGGATCTGAGGACAACTAGTTGCCAAAAAGTAGAACACGGACAACTGACTGAAACTGGAGATCGACTGTTTATCTCCAGTTGTAAGAGCGCTCACATCGACCGATTTCGGCAACTGATCATCTCCAATCATCTACTCTCAGTTGCCAAAAGCCGCCTTGCAACTCCAGTTTCTCTGTCGATGTACGCTAGGCTTTAGGAAAACGAACAACTTTAACTTGTCCTGTACTTTACACCATGTCATTGCACAGTACAATGTCTGTTTTCCACATCGCAGGTCAAGTAATTTACAAACACAGGAAAAAAGCAACTCCCTTGTGGAATACGTGTAATGTATCTTTAGTATCAGGTTTAGCCATTAAAAAAAATACTTGCTTCGTTCTGCCATTGAGATAACTATTGATGAAGTGAAAGCAACAGGTGACAATCCATACAATTCTAACTTGGACAGCAGAATAAGCACTTTAATAATCTTGCACTTGTATTGAAACTATTTTTGTTAAACATTTTTCATAGTGACAATCGATTTATTGATTTAAATATATGACACATTGGTTTGCAAAGACAATACACAACTGTTACGGCTCCAGGTCTGGGCCGTTTTGCGCAAGCACCCCGGACCTGCCCGCGGCCAATAAAACAGCGGTGCGACGTCCAGACGGGGCGGCTTGTTTCCAATACAAGTGCGCCAGCCTTGAGAGACTGACAGAGAGGCAGTTTCTGAGGCTGACGTGTGGTGGGGAGCTGACACCTTTGAGAGACCGCACGAGACCTTACGAGACCTTATTAGAATTGTGATTTGTTACCTGTCGAAGGAACCCCTTTTGTTTAGTTTACTGACTCTAAGTTTTGTCCAGGACGTTACCTTTTCTGCCTAGAAATAAAAGGCCATTTACTTTCGCCAATTACATCTGGTTGTGTATGTTGCATTTCCTTTCCCCTTCTCAGAGCCAAGTTTAGGGCTGTAACAACGACCAAAGTCAAGATGATCAATACCGGGCGCTTTCAGGTATAGCAAGAGTAGGACTTTAGCATTTTCCTCACTTACAGTATTAAATGCTAAGGATCAGGTTTATTTAAGCCTTTACAGTTTTTCTCTATTGCTTAAACACATTTCACGATTCTGCACTCCCTTTTCTCAAAACTCTAAACACAAACCTCTTTTCTAAAGCTACGTACACAGAACAACACAGTCTCTTTTCAAAACCAACCCATCACACCAAAACAGTGACTCATATTCTCAAAACCAACCCATCACACCAAAACAGTGACTCATATTCTCAAAACCAACCCATCACACCAAAACAGTGACTCATATTCTCAAAACCGACCCATCACACCAAAACAGTGACTCATATTCTCAAAACCAACCCATCACACCAAAACAGTGACTCATATTCTCAAAACCGACCCATCACACCAAAATACCTCTCATGGTCTGCAAAAATGTGAACACTATGAGCATCATTAACCACACCACCAAAACAATTGAAAACACAATTTTCAGAATGTGAGACTGTTCTTTTTTACAGTTTCACAACTGCCAGGATGCATTTGAGCAACACTTTTTTTATTCTCAAATATGTTTTGGGCATTTACTATAGATTTGCGCGTATCATGGGAATAGTTACATAACGCAGAAAATGCAGTTATATCAAAACTCAATGCAAACATGGGTACTGTAAATTCTATAGAGGATCCATTAGACATGATAGTCATGACGTGGACAATGACGTGGTCAATGACTGTTGCTCTTAGTTCATCTGTAATGGAAATGCGTTGTCTTGCTCGCCCTCCTTCTCTCCCTCCTCGGCCTGCTCCTCTCCCTCCTCTGACACGAACTCCTCTTCTTCTGCCTTGATTATCCATTTTCGTTTTGAACCTTCATCAAACTGCACTGACTTATAAAGGTGTGGTCACATCATTTGCAACAGGAGTTTTCAGTTCTGAGTGGTTGTGTTTTCTGAATGACACCAGGTCTGTTCATTGTGTTCAGGTTTTGCTGACAGTGGGAGACATTTTTCATCACATGCGCCTCACAATGCAAATTGGAGCAGAGATACATGCAAAAAGTGTTTTAGCAAAGGAAAAATGTGTTTTAGCAAAAGCAAAATGTGTTTAGAGTTTTGAGAAAAAGGGCATGTGTTTTGTGAACAGTGTCTACAGGAGAATTGTGTTTATCGTTGTGAAAGGTGGGGGGTAGATTTAATAAATGTGCTTAGGCAATTGGTCATTTGGTTTAGAGTACTGGGTTTTGTGTTGTAGCAATAGAGAAAAACTGTAACACAGAGTCAATATATGTCAATGTCATACCAAACCTCAGATTTTCCACTTTCCTCATGAAGAAATTATTCAAATGATTAGCAATTTCTTGTGGCATACTGATGGTATTTCCATGAGCTTCCACCAAAATATTCATATCGTTTTGCTTTTTACACATCAACTCTTGCAGTACCTTCAACAATTGCTTCCCCTCAGTCATAGAATTGCAGATTTTATATTCACAGACACGTGTCCCAAAATAAATTTCTGTAAATTTACCTTTTCAGAACTTTTATATCAGATAAATGTTGTTCATTTGTTTGTTTTACATGCCATTCTATTTGTCTTGCTTCATGGGCTTTTCCCGTAGTTTTTGCTGTGATTTCCCATCATCAGTGACGGCAGAAGAAGTATTAATGAGGTTCGGCTTGGCTAATGCTGCTGCAGGGAAGAGTGTGATAGAACGGTGGTGAGATTTTAAACATATGGACGATGTGTAGATGATAAGTGAGTCGACAGCACAGTGAGCAGCTTTAGACAGTGTGTGGGAATAGGAAAGAGATGCAAATATATGTAGTGTAAATACTGCTGTGATGTATGTTCCCCGAATGCGCATACCCATAAACAGCCGTGCAAATGACATGGACCTGCAGACCAATGTACGTGCGTGCACAAGTGATGAGCACCCTTAACATTGAGGCTGTGCATGTCTTATAGAACTTAATCACTATTTCACTTTGCATCTGCAGTT